CTTTTAACAAAATCTTAACCCTTCTAATTTTTTTAAAATTTGTATATAATATCTCTACAAATTATCACATTTACTACAAATTTTCAAGTAATTAGAACCTAAATTTGTATTTTCTCATATCAAACTGTATATATAGAATGTGTCTGAACTCATTATATCCAATTTGACCTATATTTAACGAATTATGTTTATTTATTTGATTGATTATTAATATTAAATATTAGTTAAATATCATTTCAATTACTTGAATTGATTGTTTGTATCAAATATATTATAAAATTTTTAAGCGTAAATATGCATTTTCTTGTGATGAACAAAACATTAATAAAATGACTCTTCGAAATCAAATTGATGAAAATGATTATCAAAATATTAATGAAGAAATATTTTTTTAAATGTAAATCTGCATTATCTCAAGTCAAGTATGAATAATTCAAAAATCAAGAACAAAGTATTCGATCTGTATAGAGTTTGATTGTGTCCCCTAATCTAAAATGTTTGCGTCCGCCCCTGACAACGGTGGCACGATATGTTATGAGTGGTGTTGATAAGGGTGACGACAACTAAAAGTCTTAAGCCCTTGTTTGGTTCCATTTTTTATTACTCATTTTTAACCACATATTTAATTGAATCGACATTTTTTTTTATCAACTTTTAAATCATATATATCACCAATTTTTATCAAAATCTACTAAAAATCTATTTTTTATCCAAACCAAAGAGGAACTAAGTATGATACAATTTCTTAGTGGCGGGAGCAGCAACAATTATATTAGGGTCCGTTTAATAGGTAAAGATGGAAAGTAATTTCAATTTCATGTTAGTTGGAAAAGAAAAACTCACCAAACTCAAAAGAATTCGTTTTTCATGAAAATAAAGAAAATGCAACTTAAAGTGGTTGTACCTTGGAATTCAATTTTCATTTTCACGTTGCAATTAAACGGTCAAAGTGAAATTCATTTTCCTCGAATGTAACATTTTCATGAAAAATGTGACAATCAAACAGGGTCTTAGCGGTGAAATGTGCTAAAATTGTGGAATACGCTTTGTTGAAATTGTAATGACGAGACAGCACAAAACCTTACTTATTTTCCTTTTTTGTCAAAAATTTCCTACCTTTTGAAAATAGTACAAAACGTCTTAGTTTCAATTTTTTCTTGTAAAATACCATTTGTCATCACATTCCGTCTGTCCCACCGTTAAATCCCAATAAATGGGGAAAAATGTAAAATTTAAATAAATAAAAAGGACAAACATCCCCACCTTTAGACAAGCCGCTCAAAACCTCCTCACCTATTGAAATTAATTAAAAAGATCATTGTTGTCTATTTTCTCAATATAAAAGATTGAAAATGATGAATATACAATCATATTTAAAAGGAAAAAAACTAATTTAAACTATAGTCTCATTTTTTTTCAAATAAATGAAAACAAGTCCCAAAAAATTAAATAAAAAACCTCCCAATAACCAAAAAAAATAAAATCCCTCCCCTCCCAAAAAAAGAGGGAGAATAATGCACTATTCTTCCCCAATTCCAATTCCACTTCCAATCCCATTCAAATTCTTCATTCCGCTCCTAAGGATAAAGACGAAGTTTTTTCTTTGAGTGGTCGTGGCCGACAACGATGTTTTTTCTCTTGTCGAAGAAGGCTGATTGCGGACTAAAGACGTCCAATTAACTATGAAGGATTTTTAATTTCCTCTATTTCACGTCGTTGTACTACAATTATTCAACCGCCTGCTTGAGTTTAGCAACACTCCCGTAAGCACATAGTTTATGGCACTATTTTAATTGTTTTATTTGTAGTTTTTTTATTTAATTACTTATTTGGAACTTGTTTACATTTATTTGAAAAAAATGGGATTATAGTTGAAATTATTTTTTATCTTTTTTTTTTTTTTTTCAAATAGGAGGATATATTTGTCATTTTTAATCTTTTTATTAAAAAAATAGATAGTGGGAACATTTTTCGCTAATTTCAATAGGTGAAGGGATTTTCCCAGAAGGCATGGAGTTTTGTGCTATTTAGCCAAAGTATAATGTATAAAATAATAAAAATAAAAACAGTATTTGTGTAAGTACTTGTTAATAATCAAATATTTAATGGCCCCACGTGGGGCAGCTGCTACTCCCAGCCAACCATTCTTCTACAAAGAAATTGGGCATAACCGCCACCAACTACAAAAATCCAGCTGGAATGAAAGGCGACGAGAAAACTCGGTCCCACACAAACGTGGCCACGTCATACCTGACACTGCTAACGCGTCGACCGACGCTCAAAGTCTCCGTCCACGCGTCTCTGACTCAAATATTAATCAAATGACGTGACCTTTGCGTCACCAAATCTAGAATTTTATTTTATTTTATTTTATATTAAAGTTTCCAAAAAATTTAAAAATAATCTCATTTAGCTTGTTTTTTAGCCCCATTATTCTATTTTTTAATGAGCTTTCTCATTTCCAAACAGTAAATTATTTGTTAAAAAATTACAACTGCACGGAATTTTGTTAGACATCGAGCTTGTTTGAGAGGAATTAAAATCGGATTAAAATTGAAAAATTAGACATTTTTGTTGACTTTTATTAGACAGGTGAGACCCAATAACGGCTATATTTTCAATTTTAATTGGACTAAAATCACTCCCAAGCAAGCAGTAAATTGTTGCTGAAAACTTAGAAATTC